TGTATTTGAACAGCAATCTTTTTATTTTATTTATTTATTTCACGAGGGACTTTGGATGTGTTGGCGTCACTTACTCAGCTCTAAGCAAAAACGATCAAGACTTTCTTTGTAGTTTTTTTTTCGGAACAACTGAGTGCGAGACCCCAAAGATTATGCTACCGCAATAAAAAAAAAGTTCAATGAAAGGTAACGTGGGAAGTAATCAATTACTTTAGAGTAATTTTTCGATTATTTTTTGAGGCTGTAATTGTAATTGTAATCGGTTACTTTTTACAGTGAAGTAATTGTAATTTTAATCGGTTACTTTTCTTCAGTAACGTGTACAAGTCTGCCCCTACCTCACTTGCCTCAGGATAACTCGACCAAGGTAGGCGATTCTTTGATAAAAATGAATGCCCTGTTTAACTCACTCACTTTGTCGTCCCTTTAGCTCGCAAACAGTTCCAGCCCTCCTTCCCTTGGAATTTTAAGGCTAAAAAACCTTGCAGTAAAGCCAATTTGCAAAACGATCCTTTTTGCAGGTTCGTGTGCATGCATCTGGTGTTTGAGCACTTCTACACAAAATACAACAAAAAAGGAAGAACTTCGGTTATGATCACAGAAAGTTAACATCATTAGAAACAAAATTATTCTTATTGTTATTGTTTTATAACGCTGGTTATATTTATTTCTAAATTCACTTTTTGATGAAATTTAAAAGTTTTTATAAATTGTTTCGTAAAAAGAAACCTCTAACACAATTCCTGTTTACGGGCTTCCAAAAAAGTGCCGGAATTATAAAAACAAACACACACACACACACAAAAAACGCGAATTTGGCAACAGCGCCCAGTCAACTGTGCTGTATTCAGTATGTAGGCCTAGTTTATTCAAGCCACGGCTGAGAACGCTGCAATACAATGTACACATGCGCAAAGTCAGATGTCTTTTGTTTGTTTATTCATAATTCGCAAACTTTTTTGAAGCCCATAAAAAGAAGTGGCGAGTTGTATTGACAAACACCACTGAATTTGATGTTTCTGAGGACGCTTTACAACTTTTTCATTGACCTTTTCATCTAAATTGAATATTTAAAACGTAAATTTAATAATGTCAATTAATTAGTTAATTGGAAATCACGCAAAGAAATAGCCTGACTTGCTCCAAACAACTAACAAACTTATTCGTTTGGTTTTGTCTTCATAAGATGCACCAAAATATTTTTAAACCTCGGATAAAGTTACGTGGAATACCCTGCATGCATGGGTGATTTCATATCAATTCGGGCACACTCTAAAAAAAGCCCGTGCGTCCGCTTTCCCGCACAACACTTGCAGAGCCAATCACCGCAACTTACGGAGGCAGCTCAGCAAATGACGAAGCCGAAACATATGATCTGCGACACGCTTGCATGCTTAATGTCACAACTCAGACTGTGTTTTTTGGTCTAAACATATGTTTAGGCATCGTCATCCGCTGAGCTGCCTCCGTAAGTTGCGGTGATTGGCTCTGCAAGTGTTGTGCGGGAAAGCGGACGCACGGACTTTTTCGGAGTGCAGGGTTAAAGCGCTTAATTTTTAGTTTTTCTGCAAGGAGAGTCTATGTTTTGTCTGCATTTCTAAAAGAAAGGAGGGCACAAACCGCAAGTTTCGCGTATTTTTTTGCTTTCCAGTTATGGAGCGCAGAAGCCGCGCGGCAGAAATTAGGCTTTTCTTTACCGTCGCAGTTCGTATGTTTGGCACCCTCTACTAACACTATTTCTTTTCTTTGTCTCCTTTAAAGTTTTGCTTGCACTTAGTAGTTACTATATATACACTTTTATAAAATACAAATTTATACGTTTTTTTTTATGTTTCTAACAAATTGCGAAACTGACCTCCCAGGTAGAGTTTTGGTCAAATTAGACAGGTGGCTGCTTTGGTTAAAGTTTAAATAAATAATATTTTTTCTAGATCTATCGAAAGCCCAAAACAAGCTGAACCACATACCAATATCATTCAGATTGCTTAATTAGCCATCTTGCAATTGCCGCGTAAAGAGTGTACAAATCAACAAAATTTGCATGTTTGAAAATCGGTTATGAGAAAAGTAATCCATAAATGGAATATTTTGGTTGTATGTCCTCTAGTTTAGCCGCAGTCTAGTGAAATATGTGTTCCGTTGGGTATACTACACGCAATCCTACCGACCTTGTGCGTTTATGATTTCCAATAGACATGTTTATTCTTGTCTACGTTTTGAGACAAGAGCTTAAAGTAGACGATCAACGAGCACCTTGCCGCTGCAGTGTCAGCTCAAAGAGGCATTTACAGAGCCACTTCCCGCCACGCAAACCCTCCGTAACAGCGAGCGAGCGCACATTGGCCCGTAGTCACCTTACGCTCTGTTCTAATACAGTTCTAATACGCGGCTTCACTTAGGCGTCTAGCTTATACCCTACAAGTATAAGGCTTGACAATCACTTCTGCAAACAACCGACTTTAAAGACCACACCAGTTGCTTCGAGGTCAGCCCCGTGATAGCCGTTTATCAACGCTGTTCCTGACGTTGAAGCGAAACGTTCGCACTAGCACATACAAAATACAAAACACGTTTCGAACGAAGCTTACAAGAGTAGCTATAAACAATACCTAGCACATTCGAAGACAGAGAAGTTATACAAGGAGCAGAACCACCTCCGAAGTGGAGATACCAAAACAAACGTGCACAGTACGAAACATCTTCAACGCGGGGTTCTATAAACTAGGTGTACCGTTACAGCAAAAGACCAGAATAGCAGGATACATGTGTCAACGCATGCACGTACTACCCCGTGCCCTGAAAGTAGATCAGCAGCGAATGTGTGCCGGCATGTTCGAAACTGCGACCGTGGAGTGCCTGGCTTCCGTATTCCGTTCACATTTAAGCAGAGACTGCGGTGCAAGCTACGTCCTCGTTGGACCAGTCATACTTCTCTCTTTCGGCACGTCATCATGCTCCCGGCCATACCCACACGCGAAGAGCCGGGTCAGGTGACAAAAGGAGGGTGGCTGAATGGCCGAGCGGGAAAGTCGCTCCCACCATAGCCTCAGCGTAAGGGTGAATGGAGAATAGACAGTGCAAAAAGTAATTCGCAGTTACATTGAACAGGTTAAATAATGTACTGCCTTGAAAGACCGTGCCATTGATTTCTTTGTTTTTCTTTCAAACTGGTTCTGTGCGCGAACTTTCGTATATTGCTAAGCTACGAGAACTTTGCATTCAACCGTCGGTGATCTCCACGATCTGTGGTGAGCAACACCCGGCGTGTATTTTCAGGAGTTTCATGTTCCAGATTTGAATAGCATGGCAACTTTTAATTCCTTCCTAATATACTGGACAATCAGTATCCATTCTCGTTTATTTTGAACCTTAATATAAAAAAAAAAATCTTGACTTTTGATTTTTATAGACTTCTAACTCACCGTTTTGCAGTGTGGTTATATGTTTTGTCTTATACCAAACTCTAAATTATAACGAATATCAAAAGTTCATCTGTCTTTTTGGTATTTTTTACCGCCTGACCAAAATATATCTTCGAAATCCTAGATGCCCCCAAGGCCGGTAAGGATGCGTGTTGTTTGTCCAAAGGAACATTTATTTTACAGGATTGCGGCTCAAGCAGAGGACATACAACCAATATATTTCATTCCTATAGATTACGTGCTTTAATAGTCTACTATTGTATCCAAAATAATTCTAAAACTAAAAATGTGTAAAATTGAGGTTTTCGAGAAAATTATATTTCAAGCATGCAACTTTTCTCATTTTGTACACTGTTTACGCGACGATAGCGAGATGGCTAATTGACATATCTAAATGATATTATTATATCTATAATCAGCTTGTTTTAGGCTTTCCATAGATAAAAAAAGAGATTATTAGCCTAAAGGTTAACCAGACTAGGGACCTGTCAAAGTTGACAAAATATCCAATTTTGAGGTTTGTCTTACATTTCGTTAGGAAAATAATAAAAAAAAAATAATAAGAAACGTACATAAAGTCGTAATTTATATAGAGTGTATTTACCGTACCTACTAAATGCTAGCAAAAGTTTAAAGGAGGCAAGGGAAAACAAATGGCGGTAGCAGAGGGTGTCAAACATACGAACTGCGACGGCAAGGGAAAACGCCAATTTCGGCCGCAGCGCCTTCCACGCTCCATTACTCGAGAACAAAAAATACGGGAAACTTCCGGTTTTTGCACTTTCTACTTTTAGAAATGTCCCCAAAACATATATTTTTCTCGCAAAAAAATAAAAATTAGGCACTTTTAGCATGCGCGATTTGAGTTGAAATCACTCACATATATATGAGGCAAATCATAATATTCACCCGGGCAGGCATGTACAATTTTAAATGAAAGCACCCAGCAGAGTTTCGCTAGTGCGTGTTCAGTGGGAAAAGTATACACGCTCGAGCCGGGTTCATAAGCAGTGCACACATCCGTCGAGTATCCAAGTGCTTCATCTTAAAAAAAACCCTAAAAAATGAGAGAAGACAAAAAAAAAAAAAGGATTGGGGGGGGGGGGGGGGGGGCAGAACACATTTTCCAACACGGCCGTGTTTGAGACTCTGTGAGTGCTGTCTCTTTTTTTTTTCAGTTTGCTCACACTCGAGGTTTTCTTTTTTAATGTGAATTTTCACCAGCTCGCCTGTTTGAGGATTTTTTTTAAATTGCAATTAACCGAGTGTTTTTCGTGTCTGGTACGCGCGCACAAGACGCGCGCCCGAAGAGAAGAGAGTCGACCATCGGAGCGGCGAGGATCGCATCCCCCTCCCAGCCGTCCTTCTTCCGCGCGCACCTGCTTCTCCGAGGCGTGGACTCCCAGCTCCGTCAGCTCCGTCACCGAGCAACGGCCCAGAAACCCGCCTCTCCGAGCAGCGCTCGGCGCGGCCACGACCGACGACGACGGCTCCGGGAGCGGCCGCGCTGGCCGCGCCGCGCGCCTCCCGCTGTCAGTATCGCGTGTAGCGTCGGCAGCGTCGGCAGAAGTCGGCGGCCGCGGCGGCAGCGAGGCGTGCGCGTGCCCCGACGGCATGCGGACCGGCGTCAACGGGACCCTCCTGGCCGCGCCCGCTCTGCTCCCCGTCGAAGGCGGCCCGTCCCCTCTGCACCTGCTCTCGACCAGCGCCGCGGCCACCCTGGGCCTCGTCCTCAACGCCTACATCCTCACCGTGCTCCTCTGGCAGCGCCAGTTCCGCACGGCCAACAACCTGCTGCTCCTGCACCTGGCCTTCGTGGACAGCCTGCTGTGTCTGCTCGTGCTGGGCTCCAACGTGCTGTTCGCGGCCCTCGACGAGCCCGAGGCCCAGGCGGGCGCCTGCCAGACGCAGGGCACCCTGTGGGCAGCCGTGCCCACGGTCCTGGTGTGGACCCTGTGCGGTCTCAGCTGCGACCGGTACGCGGCCATCGCGAGTCCGCTCCACTACTCGCGCCTAGTGAACACGCGACGGACATGTGTCTTCCTCGGCTCGTCCTGGGTGCTGGCGCTGAGCGCGGCGGTGCCGCCGCTGGCCCGCGTCTGTCCGTACACGTACCGGGCGGCCCGCTGCGTCTGCGTGGCCCAGTGCGCCGGCAACGGACCTCTGGAACTGGGATACGCGCTGAGTTACGTGTGGCTCGCGCTGGTGTTTCCGGCGTCGCTGATCGCCGCCTCCAACCTGCAGGTGCTGCTCATCGCCAGGACGCACCGGCATCGCATCGTGGCTGCCATCTACGAGGTGGGTGGCACTTTCTCTTCTCTTTCCGGGTTGACCTCACCGTGGGCGCTGTCACCGACGTTGCCTGTTTTGGGACAACGCACGATTGCTTGGCACAAACTCCGCTTGTTCGCGAATGCTTTGTCTATTTTTTTTTTTAAATACGATAGCGTTTTTTCATTGAGCTTTTACCCGCTTTTGTGTCTGTCGGTTGGTTTGTAACCAACGGAACAAGCGGCAGGCGTCTGTGATGTAACAACGCACTTGAATTGTGCATAGAGGGGTAATGCGCCGAACGAATCTGGTGTAATATATTAGCTTCTGAACAGCGGATACAGGTATACAGACGTACACCTATATAGTAAGAGGAACATTTGAATTGCACTGATAATACAGCCAAAGCCGTCGGTTGATTCGCTGACTGCCCGTTTGCGATAAGTAGTTAGCTCGAAAAATTATGTGTATGCTTTGTTTTTAATATGATAGAATATTTTGTGGGCGTCGACAAAAATATTGTTAGAATTTTCACGGCAGTTTCTAAGAAGTTGAATAAAGAAAAGTTTACGCGGTACATGACGGTACAAAATGCTGCCACGCTTTTCTCGTTCAGATTTGTCATGTCTACGATACCGTATTAATTGACCAGTCGTACTAAGGGACAAGTCAATTGAAGACTTCGACAACAAAATGAACATCAATCTTCTTTTCTTCTTTTTTTCTGCTTTTAAGTTATCCCAGGCTTTATCCGGTGAAAGCTTGTCTCAAAAGAAACCAGAGCGACGAGCATCCGTGTCCAACCCGGCAGTGGAGCAGTCGTAACCCCCACGTGTGCGTTGGCCCCGACAAACGAGGTCACGGTTGTCGCTCAATCGGAATAGTTTCCGCGACGGACGTTGGCCGCTTCGGTTTGTCAGGGCAGTGGCTTCAGTCAAGAGGTGAGGTTTAATGATGACTATCACCTCGTTATACGGGGTTCTCTGGTCGAAGTTGATCGACGAAGTTTTTAAAGGGTCGTACAATTCGATGAAACCGTCGGTGATCGAGGAAGTCATCCGTTAAAGCGTCCAGCTGCTTAAATGATGGAACATGTATTTTGAAGGGTGAAAAAGACGACGGTACGCCACCGTTTCCACGTATCGGTAATTTTGGTTTTCGGGTAGTTGGACTGGGTAAGATTTCGGAAGAATACCCGGCGGCACACATCAACAGAGCCAGTTCCGCGTCGACATTACGGATTGTGCGAGGCTTTTCGCGAAAGCTTGTCCGAAGTTTCTATAGTAAACATTCCACGTAGCATTTGGTTGACAAGCCTATTTTTCTGTAGAATTTGCACCGCGGCGTGTGCATCCACATTTGCGGCTGCAGCAGGTACATCTGGCGTGCAAGTGTCGACCAACCCATTGACGAATATTGCGGTACTAGCGTTGGCTACGTAGGAGTTTGAATCTAAATATCATTGATAAATCAATGTAAGGAACGGGGAACTATTAGTCGCAAGTTCAGATTCATATATAGCAAATATATTCGGAGACCTTGAGAGACACGCACGTATTATGAGCCAGAAAATGTAGTCGATATCGTGTGAGCTTACTATGATAAAATAATCAGTGTCGATAGTGCGTTTGCTTTAATATCAATAGACGTCGAATTTTTTGTTTTATGATCCCACCGTTTGAGACAGCACGTTTATCTAATATTTATGCGAAGCGGTCGCATTTTGATTTTGTGTGACTAAGTATAAGGTAAAGGGAACAATGTGGTCTATCACGAATTAGAAACATGTAATGAATATTAACCGCCTTTGATTTCCTTTTATTTTATTGGTTTACGTTTATTTATATTTCGTGACTTTTACATTCTCGCGGAGAGCTGCGATTGGGGAAACTTCACTACCTGCTTAATTAACTCTTGTGATGGAATTTCCGTTTCATGATCATTTTGATACACGTTATGGGGGACAAAGTTGTGAAGAAGTGAACCTTCCCATCAATTTTGCGCTACGTTGTGGCCCTCATCGGGGACGCACCGGTTGCCTTGGTTGTCTATTTTTATTTATCCCGTGGAAGGCGCGAATATTTGACCACCATTATGCGGCATGCTTAGTTTTTTTTATATTTTGTGTTACATTACGATTCCTGTAGGGTTTTCGCAGACTGACGAAAGCAAACGTATATGCTTGCGTTACGTCAGAGGTCCATAGTCGGTCTAAATTACGTTTTTCGGCGAACCGAGGCAGACCGCCATGTTTAACATTTCTCCTTTTGCATGGACCTCTTCTACCTCTTAATGTTTTTTTTTTCTTATGAAGATGTTTCAAATGTCCTAAACTTTGTGACCCCCTTCCCTTTTCCAAAACAAAAAATTATTGTCACAAACTTATCGCGTGTGCCAACAGCAATTCAGTGCAGCGTATGATGTCGACGTAAGATAAATAAATGATAAAATTCCACCAAAATGCCCAGCGTTCACGTTTTCGTGCATCCAGTGCAGTCGTGAACAATATAGACACTAATACGGCTGTGCAAATACTTAATTTTAAAATGAATGCCAAGCAAAGATTGAGACCTTGCTGGTGGTAACATAAACAAAGCACAATATACGCAATGACGAGCGATCTGGACAAAAGCTACAAGTTTCATTTTTATTTATTGAATCATACGGCTGATCACCATATCTTAGCCATGACGTTGGCTATATTTTGCAAGTAAGTCTGTAACCTTTTATTTATAGACGCACAAAGCTGTACAACGTCCGGTTGAATTAACACTTACGAAGTCTCAAATCCATTTTTATCAACTAAAAAAAAACATTATCTGCATTTAAAAATATGAGGATAGATTCTACTTATTTTTAGAAAATTAGCCAACATAATCGCTAAGACATACATATATACTTATTGCAAACATGTAGAGTTGTATATATGTTTGTTTCTATATTCTCTCATATAGGCAGGTGCAAAATCTCAGCTTCCTGACATTCGCATCTACGGCAAATGTGCGCTGCGATCCATCTCCCGAACTACGACTTGTTCGTGCGTCGTCATCTTCAGGCTCTACGTGACAGCAGAAAAAAAACCGACGTCGAGAGATGGATATTCGAAAGCTCGAATATTTGCACAATCCGTGCATGGGGTCGGAGGGTACGCAAGACGCTCCGTGTTATACTTTCCTGTACGCCGCTCTGCATCGAGGCGAAGAGGGTGTATCGTGCCTCCCGTAAGATAACTACATATTTATTTACGTTATTTACAAACCGTGCTGTTGCAGAGACCGGCCAGTGCTGTCCGTCGATCGCCCGTGCTCGTGTCTGGAGTTATCTCTTATGGTCGGTGCCGCGAACCGCGAGGGTGTCCACACCGCACTTTTGTTTTTCCTGGTAAAGAGCGTGCAGTTGCTGGGGGGCTACAGGTGCCTCCCCTCGCTTTGGACAAGAGCCTATGCGGAGAGCAAGCTCGTCTGCTTCTCTTTCGGTGACGTCAGAACGCCGAGTTCTGATTGGCTCTGATTGGAAGGATAGTGGGTAGACCTCAAAGCAAGCTGCCTTGAGGTCTATTCATCATCCTTCATTCAGAACCAATCATAGCTCGGCGTCTTTCTGACGTCACCACAACCCCGGCAAAAGAAGCAGACGAACTTCCGCTCCACATTGGCGACGAAGTGTTTTGGTGGCTCCCTCTAATGGTTCTTATCGATGATGTCACGACCAGAATAATCAATTGCTAGAACCAGTTTCGTCGGTGTGTGTAAAAAGCACACAGGCTGGTGAGCGCGAGCTAACAGTGGGCTTCCACAGTGCTTTTGCAACGTGCATTCCACACCCTAAAGATTGCCGGTTTTAGCAGCCTGTAATCGTGCTCTTGTTCTGAGAGTGCGCTGTAAACAGCGCACTCAAATATGGCGTCCGGTGAACACCCCCTACAGCCACGTGAGCACACGTGGTGTTATGGCGTTATGTATAGTATCAGAACGTTTGGTCACCCCAACTGCGTGAAGGAATTGCCGGTCAAAACCGGAAGTAGTTAAGCTTTTTTTCCGCTCGTTACGGCGAGGAAGCCTTCATGGAGACGAGCGTCATTTTTGTTTTGATATATGTTGTCCCAATATTATTTTAAACTGTCATGAGCCTGTGTACGAAACTGCACCCCGAATTGCGCCAGCGTCAATGGCTGACAACCGTAGCTGCTGCGTGGCGTCACATAACGCAAAGGATCGTCGGATGGTCGGGATAACAAGTGTTGGTCGATGAATGTCTTGTATTTTGTTTCGAATTATATAGTCTCCTATAGGCTGTACCCTTCTGAAATACGTTTCTTGTAGTGCAGCTCCCAAGCGCGTGTAAAATAGTCGCGCCTTTTAGAGGATATCACTCGAAACCAACCGTTAGCTTCGAGCAAACGTATACAGTTTCGTGCGTACCTAACTGCGACGTCGACCGCTTGGATAAAGAGCGCTTGCAAAAAGAAGGATGCAGATTTTTCCTCTGAAGCGGCATCTGGGTCCACGAAGCGGCGTCTGGGTCCACACATCGGCGGATCCACTGGATCGGTGATGTGGCTGCGGGTAGTCCTCTCTGAGGCGATGCCCGCGGGTGGAAGAAAACGGCGAATCGTTCAAAATGCATGTAACATTTCTAGATTGTCACTTGACTCAGACGAACTTGGTGAATCGTAGCCACGCTCAATTTTCACGCGCGAGTCAAACAGAATCCGGCTGCACGCATGCTAAATATAACTTTTGGCATCGTTTCAAGATGGCCTAGCTGTTGGTTTTGGATTCGCTGCATAATTAAAACAATTTATTCGATTTGGGCGAGGAGTGGGTGGACGGAGTTGAATATCGTTGGCACAGCATCACACGATTCACACCTCAGCTTACGAGCCTTCTGTCCGCTTTGAGCTCGGCGCGTGGCTCTCTTCTATGAAATGATTGCTGCGTAAGTGGTATCTCTATATTGATGGGAAACCAGTGTTCCTATACGCACAGCGACGATCCATATTGCTCGTTGCTGCATGTCTCGCCGAT